GATGTGGGGGCGAACTCGCCATGGGGCGAAAACGGTAGCTACCCAGTTCATCTACAATTCGTCGAGCTTTTGAGCGTTAAAGATTTAAGATCGTCGATGACAGTGATGAAAGAATGTTTTAAGTAGCTTATTTTGACACCCTATGTTGTCTTAATATTGGTTTCAGATCAGTATTTCATCATAAACCAACATATCTAATGCGACAACAGCAGACTTCTCTTTGGGTATCACGGTTCAAATCATTCACCAATCTCTTGGTGTCATATGAGTAAAGAACTCCCACACTGAGAGGCTGTTGTCAGTTTTAAAACAAGCGAAATCATCTGCAACATGTGCGTCAGATAAACTAATGAGACAGTGAGGGACAAAACACACGAAGATACGAAGTACAGACAATAATACACACGACGAAACATCGAACCAGACAACAAGTACAACAGGTCACATAAAATGCAAAGAAAAACAAACTAACAAACTTACGTTGCATTGATAACATAAAACAAAAACTTAAAAGACAAACAAACTACTACCAATACTGGAAAACTTGACAAAACTGTTAAAAAAAAACAAAACAAAAAGCTTACGACAATACGAAACACGGCACTACACTACATCGACGCCATATTTGACTGGTAAGAGAGAAGTCTGGTAACTGGTTACAAGGCTCCTTGCGCTCAATGAACGCCTGGTTGATTTCTACTTCCCAGGCGTCAAACCACCATCTTGTTACTTTGTTATTTATCATTTATGCAAGCTGAGAGAGTCTTTTCCTTTGACGACAAGTCTAATGGAGACAGAATAGAAGTACGGATACCGGAGGTATAGATAAGTATTTTGTTTGAGGTCTACCGTTCACGCGTTGCACTCGGAAAAAGTCGGGTCCTGTCAGCAAGTTGCATGATCAGTGTTATTACGCTTATATTTATGCAGCTGTTATATGACCTTGTATGCATGCCACCATCATTGTAGCATATAGCATCTGCATGAAATAACACTGATGTTTGCTGACAGGACCCCAATATCACTACAGTGAAACCTGTATTGAGCAGACACCCTTGGGACAGCAATAATAGTTAATTATTAACCCTTTTGTGCTCATAGTACAAAAATCCTGGCTATGCCCCTGTATTTACAAAGATGACCAATAAGTTGAATTAGGGTTTAATGAGAAACAACTCCAGCTTAGTTGTCACAGCAGAACTCAAACCCGCGACCTCCAGATTTAAAGTCCAGCGCCCTAACCACTTGGCTACACTGCCTCCCTACTTAAGTGTAGCACAAGCCTTATTTGCTTGAAATTGATTGTCTACAGTGAATTCATTGTAAGTACTTTGACAGGTTTGTAGACCATGTTATTTGTCACATTCAACCCTCACTGTGTATGATGAAGTACTCCCATTTATAAATTAGCTATGTCAATAATTTTGTTTTAGATCGTTGACCCTCAATATGGAATGTTCACATGGCCAGCAGCCCCTGTTCTTGCACAGTTTATATGGCATAACAGAGAACACATAAAAGGAAAACAAGTCATTGAGGTCTGTGCTAATGACGTTCTCTTCACTGCCTCAGTAATAGTCTAAGACAGAGTAGTCATTCATGGGCTTTATTGTATAAGAAGTGTAATGTTGTTGTCACATGTGCGAGCTCTAAGAGGAGAGGGAGTGCAGAAAGGAGTTATTCCCAAGTTGAACCTAAATACAGAGTATTTAATACAGAGATTCCAACCCCTTTTGAAGGAAAATAGGGAGACTCTTTTAGCACCGAAGGCGCCAGCCTCTAGGGGGGTCCGGGGGCATGCCCCCCCCCCCGGGAAATTTTGCAAATTTAGGTTTTCTCAAATGCCTTTTCCTGCATTTTGACATCATTTCTGAGTTACTCTATAAGGTCTTTAGTGTATTCTTATCACAGACATCTTTGGGCTGTTCTTTACTGTTGTTAATCCATCTTTTTTGAGCTGCTAAATGGAGTAAGACTGCTGGCCTGATGAGTCTGCACAACACTCGGTGAGAGACTGGGGGGATAATATGAGAAGAAAGTGTAATACATTGCAAAAAATTCTCAAGATTAGCAATTTTTCCCCTTGTTTTCACAATTTTATGATAAATCGGGAGAATTTGATATGAATCGGGAGAGCAGGAGGCAACACATCAAATCGGGAGTCTCCTGATCAAATTTGTGAGTTAGCTGTGACTAATCCAGAGGTGCCCAAAACTGCAGTGTTTGTTTTTCAGTTCTGCCTCCCCTCCTTGCCCCCATTGCAATTCTCTGTATATCTGAAACTGGTTATAGCTTAACTCTGAGTATTAAAGACTGATCATAATACAATGCATCATACATTTTAAATATTTAATTTTTCTCATCTAGCTTTGACTTTCATACAATAGGGAGGAAATTGGAATGTTTACCAAATTTATGACACTGATCTGCTGGAGCTGTACCCTGCAAGCAATGGTTTCTCCTGCAACAAAGGAGAGAGAAACCACTCTTGTTCAAAGAAAGAGAAACCAACTGCTCACAGGGTACTGCAGCTGTCTTTGTTTTGTCAATTTTTGAGGTCTAGAAGCAGCAACGTCATCCAAAATTGACCATCTCCCAGATTTGGCTTCCCAATGACAATTTAAAAATATTAAAATGTTTGATGTCACTGACTAAAAAAAGGTTGATTTGGACGTTTCGGTTAAAATACTGTAACAGTTAAAATACTATTTTAGCCAATCCCTGGTGGAACTCTTGCCCATTTACTTCTTGACACCGTTTTTAATGGAAGCATAATTTTTTATGCTGCAGAATGTTACTGACAGTATTTTAACCAAAACATCCAAATCAACCCTTTTTTAGTCAGTGACAACAAACGTTTTAATATTTTTATAATGTCTGACTACAATTACAGTGTTTTTAAATAAAAATTTTATTGTCTCATAGATTGGTGCAGGAACAGCACTTCCTGGATTGGTTGCTTCGCTGTGTGGTGCACACGTTACTCTTACAGATAAGGAGGAATACCCTAAGTGCTTGGAAAATTGTAGGCAAAGCTGCCGTGCAAATGGTCATGACTTTGTCAAAGTTGTGGGAATCACTTGGGGACAGTTCACGCCAAATCTATTCAAGCTTAATAAGGCTGACATAATTCTTGGTTCAGATTGCTTCTATGACACCAAAGGTAATTTCACCACAAGTTTGTACGTGACCAGAAATGGTATGTAATGAGAAATTCTGCAAGCTCTACCACGTATTTGCCCAAATGTCCAATGACAAAAAGAACCTTTCTAGAGATCTTTACTGGAATGTCAGATTTAGGAAATAATGATCAATACAGGTAGGGTGTAATTTCAACTAACATTTTGATCAGAGAATCATCTGATCAAGCAAGCGTATTTGTCTTTTAAAGGCTAATATAATTATTTCTCCTGTTAAATTTCATGCTCATAGTTACTATTAGGTCCCCCATGATACACTAATAGGCCATTTGGGAGTTACCTTGAGCCTCTGTTTCAGAATGAGTCCTTGAGCAAAAACTTTCACATGGAAATAATTTTGATTTACATGAAAGTGACAAGTAGGCAGAACTCATTTTCATAGGAATGGTTTTGCACAAAGACTTGTTTTGACACAGAGGCAATAGACAACTCAGAAATGGCCCATTGATAATAATATCTTATCGACTGTGATACAGATTTTGATGACATTCTTGCCACTGTCTCTTTTCTGATGGAGAAAAATCTGTGGGCAAAATTCTGGACAACCTATCAGGAAAGGAGGTACTGTGCATGCATATCAAAAGTCAAACAGCCATTGT